TCTATCACATAAAACATTTCAGGCAATCCACTCAGTTCTTCCGCATTTTATCCGCTTTCTGTTTATCCGTTTGTCCATCCACTGTCTAAGAATCTCAAAGGCCGTTCCTGACATCAGTCGGTAGTGGTCATTCCATTGTGCTCTTTTCAACGCAACTTCATAGCCACATGATCAACCAAGTGAAATCTTTTATTTTGCCGAGGAATTAATATAATCAATCAACGTTCAGAAAATCATCGCTTTTACTTCAGTGCAGCGAAATAAGCCATTTCCTTCGTCGCCTCTTAAGATTCGCTCATTATTACCGCAATTAAGAAGATACACTTTTTTCGTAGCTCACTGGTTTCCGTTCCTGTGACCTTTCAGACACAGAATCGTCAAGGTGATTACTCTAATTACGATTCACAACTATCATGTCGAGGAACGAAGCAATAAAATTCGGTGAACTGCAATGGACGTTTCATAAAAATCCATGGAAATAAAGACACGAGAAGCGAAGTGTCTTTAGAGGCGTACATGAAAATTGGAAAGAACTGAGTGGATTGCCTGAAATGTTTTATGTGATAGAACGAACGTTTTGTGCTATTCACGGCAAGAGTTTTTGCAGACACAATGAAGAAGGGTTACGATGACGTATTACAATGGATTTTCCGAGATCATTCGAACAGCAGTCCAACACCAAATAACAAATCATTTTTGCGTATTCAAGATCACTTATATCAAAGTAGGCTTATACGAGTTCATTTCAACTGTAGCGTAGTTGTCTGGTCTCTTTGTTAGTAGCATCTAGCTGTTGTTAGCAGCATGCCTATTCTCAATCCACATGGATTCAACGGATTGATCTCTTATGTTTAATGCACTCATGATTTACGAAGTTAGAAGTACATTTTGGTTTGTCATCTCATTTGCGGTTTCAGTCAGTGATTCCAATAATTTCCTTTTGTGTGCTCGCTGCTGCACCTTATTAGATATGTCACCACCAATTTTACTTTAAGTGTTGCTTAAAACTTGTGGTCACAGATGATGATCATCATCTGTCGTTGGGATGTTGGTTAATGCGCTCGTGAGTGTAACACCAAATGACTTGTGAACTGCAGAGTCGGATGCGAAAATTGCATCAGTTGCAGCCTTTTCAATGCATTTTCAACCAACAGCGCCTATTTCACATTGCTTCAATGTGTTATTTCCATTCTCTATTTACTTCTGCATACTACATCGCTTTCTGTTAATTATTGTATTGCATTTCCCATGACGTTTGCTTCATGTATGCCAGAGTTTAGTTTCGGTTGGTTGCAACGAATCAAGTCACGTAAACGTTTGAGGATTGATTTTGTTTGTTATGATCCCGATAACACTTTAAAAATGCAAAATTTTCTCAAAAGTGTTCCAGAAATATTTTGAATTTGCTTCCAGAACGACACCACCCAACTCCGGTGTACATCAGAAACCGAACAAATGACCCGGATCCACCACTTGCCACTGCTGCACTGTTCGTCAGTCGCGTTGCATCTCCTGAGTCATGTGTTGATGAGATTATCCTCGGACAAGACAGTAGCGACAATGTAAACAACGACAGTAATGCTACCGGCAATTCGACGGATTCGTTTCCAAGAAACGGTGCGCTTGCGAAGTTAATCATATGGTGCACTGAGATGTTCATTTTTATTTGGTTATGCTCCAAGCATCCAACTGTGAATAGATTCAAACAACTATTCGTGCAAAACATTCACCTGCGTTTATATGTCATTCGTATCTGATCCATTCATTTTCAACATTTGTGCTGCCTGTCGGACGTCCTTGATTCAATTGCCTGTTCTTGCACATAAACCCCATGAAGTTCTGAATGAAAATTTTTTCATGAGCAGAACATAGTATATTCATCAACCAAAACCTGAGTGTTTTTCCTTCCCGTTCCACGCTTTGTACCCTCAGGCTTCTCTTCACCTTCCTTTTCACGACACTTANGAGAGGGAATCATCCTGAACTTTGCAAGACAGTGTTCCGTTGAAAAGATGATAGTCACTGAACAAAGATTCAGCTTGACAAATCTCGAGCCATTCTGAGCATCTGAAGTTGCGTGTTTTGCAGCCGATATGCAGTATAGTCCGTTGACAGCCGGGGTGGCTGAGTGCGATCCGCAAACGTCGTCGAGTCTGCCTTGTAGAAAGTCAGCGTTGATCACTGAAGCACTGTCGAGAACGAGTGGAGGAGTCCAGGATACAGGTTGCAGAACGGGCACATCTCGTGTAGATGCGACCGCAAGAGGCACGGTTGTGAGAAGCGCGGAATCAATTGAATGTGGTGCTCAGCGTGATCCGACATTGCATGATTTTACGATTGATCTTCCTGCCGATCCATTCCTCAACACTATTCGACTACCTACAGCCTCAACAAATGGTGAATTTTGATTCTTCTCTTTTTTATGCTTCTGGGCCCACGGTGACGGTCTATACCAGTGTCTCTCACGCTTCGAACCTCCATTCCTCACTTCGAAGGCCTGACAAGCCACCATTCTGCGCGAGATAATTTGCTGTTTCCACACAAAACATCACA